TTTGTTATCAGTTCATCAACTATCATTTACTCTATTGTTTTTAGTCAATATCTTTGAATATATTTCTTATTGGGCACAAATCAAGAGTTTAAATCTCTCACTACAATTCAATAGTTTTTTTTATTTATTTAAATGTAATTATGATTTCAAATTTAATGTAATTTGCTTATATATTTTCCACTACATTCAAAAGTTTTTTAAACTGGTGGTTATTAATATGCAATGCCATTTCACATTGTAGCTATATTAGTAGTATATAAGTAAGTTTTGATTAGAAAACCATATGTTTGAAAAGATTTGTTATTCAAAATAAAAGGGTTGAAAAAAAAGTTTTGTCGTATCAACGGTTATTTCAACACAATTTTTTTATAACAATGTTTCTATAGATCAAATGTATTTTGATTTCTAAATATTAATTTTGAATGATTTATAAGTGTTTAATAAGTTTTGTTTGATGTAAATGTTATAATGTTTTAGTGTTTTTATTATATATATATATATATATATATATATATATATATATATATATATATATATATATTAAATCCAAAGGAGCTTAGGAATAGTACTTTTTTAGGCTTTAGGTTTTTGCCACAAAAGTTTGCTGAATTTGACACTTTTAGTCCCTAAAGTCAAAATTTTTACATTTTTGCCTTTTGATTAAGTTTTTGTGCCTTAAGGTTTTTGCCACAAATATTTAATGACTTTGACACTTTAGTCCTTACAGTCAAAGGTTTTACATTCTGGTGTTTTTGCCACAAATCTTTAATGAATTTGACACTTTTCGTCCCTGTAGTCAAAACTTTTACATTTTAACATAAAAAACACAAAAAACCTCCTTTAAAATTTTGCCACCATATTTTCCCAATTTTGACAACTTTAACATTATTGTCACAACATTTTTGGATTTTCTCCACCAATGTCCCTTCTTTTCGTTGTACATTTTTGACATCTAATTTTAGGGGCTGTCGACTTTCTCCCCTGTTTATGGTGCTTTACAATTTCAGCACATATCTTTTAAAGTTGGCCGATTTTTTCCATATTACCCCAAAAGCGGCGTAGCCGCGGGTTCTTTACTAGTTTTATTAAAAGCTATAGTGTTTTTCATACTATTTGTTATTTGTTTTATATATACAAATCGGAATACGTTTTATATATAATTTTCACGATTTAAAACGTTCTATAAAATCATCAAAAGTTGTAGTATTTTTTTTATACAACTTTGTTTTGTTTATAAATAGAAATCAATATATGTTTGATATATAATTTACACAACATAAACAGTCTATAAAATCATGAATTAATATTAGAAATAACTAATGATATAAATTTATTAAAATTAATAAAACTAATATGTTAACTATAGAGTTTGTTTTCCTATTGACATTGGTTTTACATGTATAAATATTAAATCACAATTTGTTAAATGTTAGTATTTTAATTAAATAATTATATTCACGCGCAACGCGCAGAGATTTAACTAGTAAACTAATACAAAAGAGAACTTATCTCTTGTCCCTCCGTACCTATAGTTTTGAGGCCAAGCAAGAGGACAAAAGGTATAAAATTCTCTTTAAGTTTTATAAGATATAAAACCTATCTTTTTAGCTAAAAGACAAAAGTCTTTCTAGTCCAAAATGGTGTACATGACTTAATTAATTATACTATATGATATATTATGTTATTTGCCATTGAAAATTAATATCTCTATGAAATAAATAATTTTCAATTAATTATAAGAGTTTATTGAATATTTATTAAAATCAAATTCTAATAAATAATTAATTATATCAAGTTGTTAGTGTGACTCTTAGGATCATATGTTAATTATCAATATCACTTTAATATGACTCTTGAGCATACTAGATCTTTCAACTCCTAAGTCTACAAGAAACCAACCATCAATATCTGAAATAGAAGAATTGCAAATGTCAAGAAGTTGCTCAAATGAAATCCCTAAGCTCACCAAAAGGTTACCTTAACCACAAAGTTCTTATTCCTTCAATGATCACTAAGAACACCAAATAGAGCTCAAATGAGGAATCAAGGGATTAGGGTTCGATTTTTAGACTTGGAGGGTGATGGAGGCTGAGGATGGACGAAACCCTAGCTATCACATCCTTTAAATATAACATTAAGCCTGGAAAATTAGGTTCGAGCCTAAGACGTCGCCACGTCGTGGCCAATACATGACCATGTCGTGGCCACTAAAAAAGACCGCGACCCAAAATTGGTTGTTACGTCGTAGTGATCTTCCCACCACGTCGTGGCCACCAAGATTGCACAAGATTTAAGCATCAAATTCATACTTGAAACCGGATGTCACAGTCTCACAACCCTAGATTTAAAAAAAACAAAAAAAAAAACAAAAAAAGGAAGACCTAAAATTAATATTTATTACATAGTACTATTTTTAGAATGCTTTAAATAATTTGTTATCAGTTCATCCAACTTTCTTAATGTTTTAAATAATTTGTTATCAGTTCATCAACTATCATTTACTCTATTGTTTTTAGTCAATATCTCTGAATATATTTCTTATTGGGCACAAATCAAGAGTTTAAATCTCTCACTACAATTCAATAGTTTTTTTTTATTTAAATGTAATTATGATTTCAAATTTAATGTAATTTGCCTATATATTTTCCACTAAATTCAAAAGTTTTTTAAACTGATGGTTATTATTATACAATGTCATTCCACATTGTAGCTATATTAGTAGTATATAAGTAATTTTTGATTAGAAAATCATATGTTTGAAAAGATTTGTGATTCAAAATAAAAGGGTTGAAAAAAAAGTTTTGTCGTATCAATGGTTATTTCAACACAATTTTTTTATAACAATGTTTCTATAGATCAAATGTATTTTGATTTCTAAATATTAATTTTGAATGATTTATAAGTGTTTAACAAGTTTTGTTTGATGTAAATGTTATAATGTTGTAGTGTTTTTATTTTATTAAAAGCTATAGTGTTTTTCATACTATTTGTTATTTGTTTTATATATACAAATCGGAATACGTTTTATATATAATTTTCACGACTTAAAACGTTCTATAAAATCAACAAAAGTTGTAGTATTTTTTTTCATACAACTTTGTTTTGTTTATACATAGAAATCAATATATGTTTGATATATAATTTACAGAACATAAAACAGTCTATAAAATCATGAATTGATAGTAGAAATAACTAATGATATAAACTTATTAAAATTAATAAAACTAATATGTTAAATATAGAGTTTGTTTTCCTATTGACATTGGTTTTACATGTATAAATATTAAATCACAGTTTGTTAAATGTTAGTATTTTAATTAAATATTTATATTCACGCGCAACGCGCGGGGATTCGACTAGTAAACTAATACAAAAGAGAACTTGTCTCTTGTCCCTCCGTACCTATAGTTTTGAGGCCAAGCAAGAGGATAAAAGGTATAAAATTCTCTTTAAGTTTTATAAGATATAAAACCTATCTTTTTAGTTAAAAGACAAAAGTTTTTCTAGTCCAAAATGGCGTACATGACTTAATAAATTATATTATATGATATATTATGTTATTTGCCATTGAAAATTAATATCTCTATGAAATAAATAATTTTCAATTAATTATAAGAGTTTATTGAATATTTATTAAAGAGTAAATTACACGAATGATCCCTATGATTTGGGGTAATATGCGTGTTTGGTCCCTAATTTATTTTTTTAACTCGGAAACTCCCTACTGTTTGTTTTTGTTACGCGCTTGGTCCCTGCTGTTTGTTTTTGTTACACGTTTGATCCCTATCTTAGCTAAAAAGACTATTATTTAAATAGGAAAAAATGGTGGGGTATGTAAGGTAAGGTGAGGTGGGTGGGGTTGGCAGTGTGTTTATTTAAATAAATTAAAAAATCAACGGCAAAATAGTCTTTTTAGGAAAGACATGGACCAAGCGCGTAACAAAAACAAACAGTAGGGACCTTCCGAATTAAAAAAATAAGTTAGGGACCAAACATGCAAATTACCCTAAACCATAGGGACCATTCGTGTAATTTACTCTTTATTAAAATCAAATTCTAATAAATAATCAATTATATCAAGTTGTTAGTGTGACTCTTAGGATCATATGTTAATTAACAATATCACTTTAATACGACTCTTTAGCATACTAGATCTTTCAACTCCTAAATCTACAAGAAACCAACCATCAAGATCCAAAATAGAAGAATTGCAAATGTCGAGAAGTTGCTCAAATGAAATCCCTAAGCTTGCCAAAAGGTTCCCTTAACCACAAAGTTCTTATTACTTCAATGATCACTAAGAACACCAAATAGAGCTCAAATGAGGAATCAAGGGATTAGGGTTTGATTTTTGGACTTGGAGGGTGATGGAGGCTGAGGATGGACGAAACTGTAGCTATCACATCCTTTAAATATAACATTAAGCCCGAAAAATTAGGTTCGAGCCTAAGACGTCGCCACGTCGTGGCCAATACATGACCATGTCGTGGCCACTAAAAAAGATCGCGACCCAAAATTGGTTGTTACGTCGTAGTGATCTTCCCCTCCACGTCGTGGCCACCAAGATTGCACAAGATTTAAGCATCAAATTCATACTTGAAACCGGATGTTATAGTCTCACAACCTTAGATTTAAAAAAAAAAACAAAAACAATAAAAAAAAAGGTAAACCTAAAACTAATATTTATTACATAGTACTATTTTTAGAATGCTTTAAATAATTTGTTATCGGTTGATCCAATTTTTTAATGTTTTAAATAATTTGTTATCAAGTTCATCAACTTTCATTTACTCTATTGTTTTTTAGTCAATATCTCTGAATATATTTGTTTTAAAGTAGTCAAAGCATTAAAAGCCAACTACATTCTTATAGCATCGAGAGCCCTTTAAAAGGGCGTTCTTGTGTCTGTAATTGTGGCAACCTAATTTTAGTGTATGAACGCACACCAAGAACTAGCCTTGGTGGCGCTCTTTCCATTTCCAACCTCAAACCACCGCTAAATGGAAGCCAACAATTCAATCAATCAAATCGACAATCACATCAACGATGATGGTGATCAGAACTCATTTCCGAGCCACCGTCATCAGATCATCACCTATTCAAGAAAGAGAAAACACTCTCAATCTCAGGTAATCACACCAATCAATTCAAACCAAGTAAACCCTCTTTCCGAATCATCAGTTCTAGGGCTTGTTCTCCTTGCTCATACGTTCTCATACAATATTCAAAACCTCACTGAGTCTCTCCTTCTCGAAATCCTCGCAAGATTGCCCCTGAAATCACTTTTTAGGTTCAAATGTGTTTGCAAACAGTGGCTAGACCTAATTTCTCAGCCTTCATTTTCCCGTTTCTATTGCTCTCGTATGCTCACAGCCAGCGCATCGTCATCATCCATACCTTTCAGAATTTTATATAGGTACATTTATGTGTCGAAATTCACAGACGTTCTTGATCGATTCCGTCCCGAGACTTACAATTCCTCAAAATTCTCTGTCCTTTTTCTCTCTACTATCGAAGAACAACAACAATCTGATCAATTCAAAGTCTTGGGTGTCAGCAATGGCTTGGTTCTATGTTGTTTATTGGGACCTCTGGTTTACTATGTTTGCGATCCGGTAACCAGACAGTCGGTTACTTTACCTAGACCAAAAGACAGATCCACAAATCGCCACCCAATTTTCTTCGGCGAGGGATTTGTTAGTAAAGTAAACGAAGACAACGTTCTCATAAGCTACACCGTTGTCAGAGTAGAACTACTCAGTTCACCCTCAAACTATCTCAATCTAGAAACTTTTTCATCTGATACTGGAAAATGGGCCGATTATAAGTTACCCTGTAGTAAACCAATAGCTCTTCTGAAACGAGGTGGAGGTCCTATCACCTATAAGGGCATCCTTCATTGGTTTGTTGACATTCATGGCATGGTTGCTTTTGATCCTTATCGAAATCAAAAATCTTGTCGCGTTATTCAATTCCCAGATGAAAGAGACATTGACAGTGAGTACGAATATGAAGGGCTTTATCGATTATGTGATGAAACGCAAGGTAAGCTTCGATTTTTCGAGGTGTCACCTGAACCTTCTTCATTTTACTGTTTTAGCATGTGGGTTTTGAAAGATTATGAGAAAGGAGAATGGTGTTCTGAGTTTAAAGTGACTCGGAGTGATCTTTCATCTTCTGATCCTGAGTTAACCTCCTGGTTAATGACTGCTAATTTTCTTCCATTATCTTTCAACCCTTTCGATCTGAATATTGTTTACCTGAGGTGTGAGGAGCTTAATTGTGTTGTATCCTATGATATCGAGAATAAAAGTCTAGATGTGGCTTGTAAACCTATCGGTGTTGTTGAAGATCTTTCATGGCGAGTGGTGGTGCCATTTGTGATTCCGAGGTGGCCAACTCCGGTTCCAATTCCCCGTGTTCCAAAGAAGGCTGTGAAGGGGAAAGGTGCACATCGCAGGCGTTCGTATAGAATCTATACTCGTTTTTAGAATTTAGATATGGGCAAGTTTGTAGTGATATGTGTTGTTTGTTTGTGTTTTGAACTTTTGATATGTTATAGTTTGAGTCTTAATCCTAAAAGTTAAGGTGTTTTAATAATGAATAAAACTAGTTTTTTTTTTGGTGATGTATAATGCCTTTGTTGGTCTTTTTCTCCGTATCTTCAATGCAAATATTGTTTGTGTAATTGAGGGTTGTAAAAGAATGAAAAGCCTATATGAAGTGATTTTGTTTATATGGTAGAATTGTTAGGTGTCTAAGGGGTTGTGTTTTCAAAATGAGAGGTTTAATTGTTTATGTATTTATGTTGTTAGTCTGCAACCCAATTAAAGATATGGTTACCTAAAATTGAGATTGACTTGGAGCATTTTTAATGGTTAAATTATTAAAAAGCCTTTTTGTTTTGTCTGATGACATTTTTATTAATATTTATTCAACAAAAACCTATCTTTTTCGATCATAAATATGTGTTTTTGAAAATTTAACTACTCTAACCTTAATTTTATGAAACATTAACCTTCTTTTTTAATATATATATATATATATATATATATATATATATATATATATATATGGACTGATGCATTTCAATGATATATTTATCGTCATTTTCTATTTTGTTTGTTTAATAAAATAAATTAAATAGGCAAAATATTAATAAATATATAATAGTTTAATATGATTAAAGGGTAAAATAAAATATTATCAAACACTATTTCTGTGAATAAAGAAGTGCCAGTGAACTTTTTGACGGACTCGTAGGATGGAAGGTCCACATTTAGACCGATTGACATTTTGGTCTTTGGATGGATAGGAGAGAAGCATGCCTGTGTGGATCTTACTGGGGTCTCTCCTCTCGTTGGTTTGGGGAGCGGGGGTTTCACAGCTGGGCAAGCCGCTTTGAAAGCCGCCTTGTGCAAAGTGGTAAAGCACGGGAATGCATGTATAGAAAATCAACATGTGTTTGTATCTTTTGCATTCGATACATTTGGTTTTCTCGCACCAGAGGCGGTAGAGCTCCTCAATAGAGTCCAACGGGTCATGCATTCTAATGTCATATATCTCCTAGATCCACAAATGTTGTTTTCAAAATAATTAGTTTTGTCATCCAGAAAGGGCTAGCGGCGCAGCTTGTTGCCCGTTTGCCTTCAATCGATATGTATTGAACTATATTATGAATTTGGTTTCTCATAAACGGTGGAGTGACCTCTACAAAATCTTATATCTAATGATAAAAACATTTTTAAATATTTTTTTCAAATTGAAAAAAAAAATCTCATCATTATAGATAATTTTATTGGTGATTGATACTTATCTGATTATAATGATTACAAAGTTTTATGGTTCAAATGATTATAAATTCATGTCCATGAAAAAAGGTTCGTGATGTAGCTTTTTCCGACATAAAAACACATTTTTTTTTTATTGTAAAGCTCTCCAAAATTTTGGTTGCGAATTTACGTGTATGAAAAAAAAAAATCTAGGGTTTGATGAAGATCTAGTATTTTGATTTTCAAGTAAGAAAGAAAATGTCATGATGGATGAGATTAAGAGAGAGAAATAGGTTTTTTTATGCATATGGAGATGAAGAGTAAGATGTGGGATTTTTATTTTTTTCTTAAAATGGAAATGAATAATATTTTTGACTTACTCAAAGAATTTTACGATAAAAAAAAGGGGATGAAGGAAAAAGGGAAGAAAAAACAAAATTTGGGTTTAGATAAGTTATGATGCCAAATATGGTGGGTTTTAGTAAAGGATACTTCAAATACATAGGGAGGGATTTTTCTATCCCCGTGAAGAAGAATTTTGGCGGCGATGGTGGGTTTAGTCGTGAATTGGCGATCTAAACGCGCTAGGTATATGGGCATTTTGTGATAAAAGATAAAAAGTTGGACAAATGAGTATATTTTAACATGTTTCATTAAACGTTGATTTTGAAGTATATACTTAAAATAGAAGTTTAATAAAAGGACTTAAGTAATAAGTGTGTCTTTGTATACACAATTCTTGTTTGTTGACATATTAAACGTAAGGGTTTTGTTACTTCTCTTGATATTGATCATGACTAATTTATTACATCATTTTCTCTTATTACTTCTTTGATTTGGTTGAATAGTGAAAATGAAATAGGTGCTCTTTGTGATTCTTTCTAATTTTGGTATTGATTTGTTGGATTCATTAACATAAAGTATGCTTTAGAAGCATGTGATCTACAAAGAGCGTAAAAGGGGTGCATGTTTTTGTTGGGTTTTATTTAAAATTGTTTTCACAAAAATGCTAAAAACGACAATGAAAGCAATAAAACTTAAATAATAATAAAATCATTTTATACCCACCAACAGTGGCGGACCTTAGTGGGGATTTGGGGTCCCGGGCCACTGCTCAATTTCCAGCACGCAGTGTAAATTTTTTTTTTTTGGTTTTTTCTATTAGGTGCACCCGCTTGAAGTACGAGGGACACCCCTACTAAAACAGTCTACGTCCGCCACTGCCCACCAATGATCATTTTGCAATCATGGAAAGATTAAATCAACAACAAAGAGGAAAAGATTACAAAATCTGAAGTCTGTAATTCTCATGGGAGATTGGAAGTTGATGAGGTGAAACAAAAGACTCAAAATTGAAGCTATCTATATGTATCCACCAAGCAAGGATGAATCACTTCAAGATGCTAGTCTTCACTTGTACGAAGCACTTCTTAAGCCATTAATAACTAATACCAAATTAGTCTTAAGGAGAAGCAACTTTATAAGCATCTAATTCTAGACAACAAGTTGCAAGAGATGGAGAGGAAAAGAGCTCTAAAGCTCACGATTTTCTTAGAAAAAAAGGAGGAGAAATTTTTTTTTATAAAAACTAGCTCAAAAGTCTTGGTATTCTTCTCTTTATATACCTACATGCATGCAATAAGGACCATACATCTTAAAAGAATGGTGTAAATAAAAAGCATGGTGGTGTAAGAGGTTGCTTCACAAGCAACCTCACCATGCCTTGGACAAGCCATGACTTTGGCTTGTAAAAATCAAAGAGATTTTGTCTTTTATTCCTTCTTATTTACTAGAATTTGCATCTTATAATCATATAACCTATATTTGTATAAATGGACTTAAAAAGGTCCAAAGAGATGTACACAACATATAAAATCATACATTATGATTTACTAGATGTTTTCTCTCAAGAAAAATATTATTTCCATAAATAATAATTTTCCAATTAAATACAAGTGTTGATAATATTTATTAGTAATCGGATTATAATAAATAATCAATAAGTGATAACTTGCTATAAGGTGTGGCCTTATAGGCTCATATATCATTAGCAAATATGAGTCTATAATGAATCTTGGTTATATAGATCTTTCAATCTCTCACTTGCACAAGCCTCATCATAATTGATATAGACAACGGTGAAGGTCTAACAACATTTCATTGCCCCTAATAACTCAAGACGAAAATGCCATTCATCAACATCTCATTCTCAAAAGCTCAAAGCTACAATTGATGTATATGGTAAGTTTATCAGTTATCCATTTATTGCATACATCATGTTGAACATGAGATTTGGATCACAATCAATCTCATTTGGTGTTCAACTTTAGGTAACACATGTTAGATGTCTATCTCTCAACACATAAGAGGAACAAATCGCATCTTGACTACATACACCTCTTGTCCTGATATTTGTTGTTTGTTTATGATTTGAAATTTTGTTATGTTATAGTTTGACTGTTAAACCTAGAATTTGAGGTGTTTTAATAATGAATAAGCCTAGTTTTTGTGTGAGATGTTTTATGCCTTGGTTAGTCTTTTTTCGTCGTATCTTTAATGCAGTCTTGTTTGTGTAATTGAGCTTTGTAGAAGAATGAGAAGCCTATACGAAGTGATTTTGTTTATATGGTAGAATTGTTGGGTGTCTATTTTAGGGGATTTATTTTCAAAATCAAAGGTTTAAGTGTTAATGTTGTTCGTCAATAACCGAATTAAGGATATTGTTACCTAAAGTCGAGAATGACTTATAACATTTCTAATGGTTAACTTATTAAAAAAATATTATTGTCGGATGATATATTAATAAAATGAATCACATGGACAAAATATTAATAAATATATAATAGGTTAATATGATTGAAGGGTAAAATAAAATGTTATAAAACATTGTTCCAATAATAATTTTGAAAATTCTAAGTGGTTGGAGATGCTCTAAATGGTGAACTGCACAAATAATTAATGTCTTCGTTAGTAAAATCATTTTAAATTCATTTTAAAATAGAAAAAAAAAACTTTAGAAAAAACTATCATTGAAGATGCTCTAAATGGTGATTGATACTTATTTGATAATAAACTTTTAGGGTTATTTACTAAAATGATCATATTTGAGTATCTTGTCCGTGAAAAAAGGTCGATGATGTTGTTTTTTCTAACACAAAAGCACATTTTTTTATTGTGAAGCTCCCAAATTTAGGTTGTGAATTTGCTAAGTATGAAAAAAAATATATAGGATTTTTATGAAATCTAGTATTTTTGGTTTTCAAGTAAGAAAAAAAAATGTCACACAAGATGAAGACACAAAGTAGGTTTCTTTTTATGCATATGAAGATTTTGATTAAGATCTAGGATTTTAGTTTTCTTTTTAAAGGTAAATGGATATTATTTTTGACTTACTCAAAATGGAGACTTTTACGAAGAAGAAAAAATGAAAGAATAAAAGGAAATATGGTTTTAGAATAATTATGATGCCAAACATTGGGGTTTTAGTGAATGAGATTTCGAATACATATCCACAAGAACATCAAATCGAAACTATCTATTCTCTTGGCGGTGAGGGTCGGATACGATTTGTTGATGATTTTTCTTTCCTTCGTGTCCGACATCATCCTTCCACGTTTTGGAGAATATCAAAACCCTAGATCTCATATTCATCTTCATAGCGACGAATTTTTCCATCCCCATGAAGATGAATTTTGGAGATGGTTGTGGGTGTAATCGAG